GTGAAAACATACGTACTATCCAAAACGATTTACAGATTCAGTGCAATCCCTATCAGAAGTCCAATGTCGTTTATCACAGAAATAGAAAAAACAATTCTTGAATTCTTATGAACCCACAAAAGACTCCAAATAGCCAAAACGGTCTTGACCAAAAAGAACAAAATGATGATATCCAACTATCTGATTTCAAAACATATAAAGCTATTGTTACCAAAACAGGATGATACTGGTATAAAAATAAACACATTGATCAATGGAACAAGTTAGAAGGCCCAGAAACAAACCCACTCATTTATAGTCAATGGATTTTCAACAGAGGTGCCGAAAATGCGTAATGAGGAAAGGATAGTCTCTTCATTAAACAGTACTGGAAAAACTGGCTGTGCACATGCACAAAAATGAAATTGGATCCTTATCTCAAACCATATACGAAAATCAAGTCAAAAATGGATTAAAGGAATATAAAACCTGAAACTGTAGAACTACTAGGAGAAAACATAGGGGGAAGCTCCACAGTGTTAGTCTAGACAAAGTATATTGTTTCCTTATATATGTGTTTTCAAATTTATCCTGTTCTATACTTAGGTTGAAATTGCTGAGTTATAGGTAGGTATGTCTTTTACTTTATTGGATATTGCCAAATTACTCTAAAGTAGCTGTACCACATTATATTTCCTTTAGAAAAGCAAGAGACTTCTCATTACTTCATATTACATCCTCACCCATATTTGTATTGTCAGACTTTTATGGATTTTTACTGATCTGAATGTTAAGTCATTGCAGGTTTATTTTGCCTTTCCCTGGTTATTAGTGAATTTGACCTTTTTTTTTTTCAGGTTACTCAGTTGTTCCTCTTTTTTTCTAGTGAGTTTTTTTCTCCTCATTGGTTTGTACAATTTTTTTATATTGTGGATTCTAATTCTTCCCAATTATATGTGTGACTTGCTTTCCAATTTTTTACATAATGAGTTTTGATGCATGGGAAATTTCAGTATTAAAGTAGTCAGATTTATCTATTTTTTCTTTTATGGTTTGTGTTTTGTGTGGCTTGTTGAAAAAATCTTTTTCTACTTTGAAATTTTAAAGATCCTCTGCATATTTAAAAAATATTTTCCAGTTTTCCTCTTATCATTTAGGAATTGAGTCTCTCCCACCTCATTCTTTGGTGTTAGTTAGGGATCCATTTTTTCCTTGTATGGATAACTAGTTCTCCTTGTACCATTTCTTGAATAGTTTATCTTTTCTCCTTAACCTACAAAGCCATCACTGCTATAGTATGCAATGCTAGGTATGCAATACTATAGTGTGCTAGGTATGCATTGCTCTGTTTCTGAGCTCTTTAGTCTGCTTCCTTTTCTGTTTCCTTATTTTTATACCAATGTCTTAATTACTGAAGTGTTATAGTTCTTGGTATCTGCTAGAGCAAATCTGCCCACCTTAACCTTCTTTTTCAAAATCAAGGGCTGGCAAACTATTTCTATAAGGACCACATAGGAATTATTTTAGGCTTTGTAGGCCATACAGCCTTTATTGCACCTACTGAATTCTGTCATTGTAGTGCAACACCACCCATGGGCTATATAAAGGAATGAGTTTGGTTGTATTTTGTGTAACTTTCACATATACACATTATTATATATTTTTTCTTTTTAAAAAAATTATTTAAAATTGTAAAACCATTGTTTGTGAACCATATAAAACAGCCAGTAGAACTTAATTTATTGACTTTTACTTAAAATTATCTGTGCTATTTTTTTTATGCCCCTTTTCTTATATACACTTTTTGTGAAGTTCAGCTTCTGATTTTCCCTACATGAGCAAAAGGTTATTTAAAATCCTTCAGTCGCCAGTGAAATGATGAGGCAGGAGAAAAAGTTCTTTAGGTAATAGTCTTGTCATAAAAAAAAAAAACAGTTGCATGGAGCTGCTCAAGATCTGAGTCAAACTGAAAAAAGGAAGATAAGGGGCTGAAAATTATTTTAAGAACCCCTCCAACCATGAGTTATTCTTCAGGTCAAGGGAGGGGAGGGCAGGGAGAAGTGTCTAGCCATGCCATCTTAGAGCAGAAAGCCATAGCTGGATCAGATCCAATTCTCATGACACACAAGGAACTACACTTGTGACACCTGAGCTGGATTCAGATAGCAGAGTGGGCAGGCAGGTGGGCAGGCAGAGCAGTGGCTGGATGAGCATGGAGCCCAGTACTACAGCTCCATCATTCTGTTCAGAGTACTGTCAGCATGGAACCATTGAATCAGGGTCTTGTAGAAGTTTGTGGTTCAGAAGGATGGTTTCCTGAATCCTCTTGGAGTTCTTGATGGTACATTTGAGGGGCTCACCAGGGCAAAGCCTTTCTAGCCTTGGATGATGAGATTACACACAGGGTAGATCTTGTAGTTTGTCATGTCAGTAAAGGTAAGGGGCAACAGGCTGGCTTCTTGAAATTGGTTTCCTGGATCCTGGTGAAGCTCTTGATGATGATGCCCTGTCTCCCAAGGTGGCAGAGTTCTAGTGCTGTATGCTCCCAGCTTGCCATGGCTCTCATCTCTGATAACCATCCATCTGATGGCATGTTTCTTACAGTAGTGGGCATTCTCCTGGTGACAGCCTTACCAAGGAGTTGACATTTATTGTTTTCAGTGTTTATGGCACCAATAAACAGGTTATTGGAGATGTTGTACTGGTGCCTCAATAACTTGAGCCATATGCCAACAATCAAAATATAGTCAGTGGTATACTTCCTTTTCATTTTTGTAAGGATATGTGAATCTCTAGGTCATCCAGGTCTTTGCCATCCCACTTGTCAAAAGGCTCCAGGAGCTGCAGGCACTTGTTGGTTGTGCTCATATCCACCCTCTGCCTACTGATATCCTTGTGGTGGAGGTGCTGGTAGGTGTCCTTCCTGGGGTCAACTCTGCTTAGGGAAGCTCTTCTGCATCTGGAGCCTCCAATTTGTACTTCTCGCTGTACATGGTTATCAGGAAGTAAATCTCTTGGTTGAAGTTGATGGTGCCAGAAATGGCTAGGACTTGAGGATCTCTGGGAACATGATGAAGTCGTGGGCCTCAGGTTTGCTTTATTGTGGCCTGTCAAGTTCCTCTTGTAGGAGGTAAGGATTGCATTTTTCTTCATCTTTATTATGTCCTTCCTGTTCCACTGGCCAATGCAGGGCCACAAACAGTGGCCAGGACAATGCCTACTATATCCTATAGGATCTGTGAATAACTCTTATGCTCAATATTGGTGTAGATCTGCTGAGATCCCAGTGCTGTGGTGAACTGTGACTTGCACTTGAGCCCATGAGCTAGCACTTGCTTGGCCATAGCTGTTGAGCACCTGATGTCCTCATAGCTTGAGTTGGTACAGTTGTTGATCAGACCCACTTTGATGTCCAAAGTCCATCCCTCCTTCTCCACTACAGTACCTACTTCTTCCACAGTGTGGGCCAGGTCGGGGTAAAGGGCTTATTTACATAGGGCTTCAGCTTGTTGAGGTTAATTTTTACCTGTCATTTATAATGGCAATCAGGGTCAGGTACCAAGTGATCCTTGATTTTATCTTGGATTGGCATTGTCTCCTTAGCCTGTCTTACCCAGTTATTTCTTTATTCTGTGGTTCTAAGAGAACACTGAGGGCCACAATTTCTACACCCATGTTCAGGTTATCATCAGGCCAGTGTATGAGATGGATTCTACACTAGGCCACTGGTACTCCACAGTACGTGTTTGCCACCTTTAGGATCACATCTGTGGATCAGATCTAGCTTGAGATTGTGCCTGTCAGCTTCACACCATTCATCTTGTGGCACTTCAACTCCTGCCATCCACTGCATCAGCCTCCCCAGCTCCAATGTATATGCCCTGCAAGCCACCACTATTGAGGTGTGGGGGTAGTGGAATAAGAAGAATCCTAGGGTATATGTAGCTTTCAAATTGATTCTAGGTCCAAGCTTCTAAAAGCCCACACTATAGTTCACATCTGCAGTTGCCAGGAAATTATGCTTTCTGATTTATGTCCTTGGCCTGGCACAGACCTTTCTTACCCCTGAGCTGAGCCTTGTCTGATGATCACAGTGGATGGTGGATGATATGGCCATTTGGCCACCTCTCTGCTGATGAACTGTACTGTGGCCATATGGTCCATGGTATCCTGAATGCCTATGCAGGTACATCTTACTCTGCTCAGTTGCCTGGGGTCATCCAGGTATCCATACATGATCTCCAAGAGGATCAGAGCCTGGTTCAATCATTTGTTAACACTGTTAATTTTCTTTTCTAGCAGGTTATAGTGGATATACTTGCTGACTCCAGTTAGCTCATGGTCACCTTGGTCTTTTGGCACAAGACTGATGCCACATATTTCTGCGCATTGGAGGGCTTTCTGCAACAGGGTTACTAATAGAGTATGCCTGCCATAAGGATTCTCTGTTTGGTACAAACATCATTTTTATGGCCTGTCTTTTTAAGTTGCTAACAAAATAAACTCACTTTCTAGCCCATATTTAGCACATTGCATTTGTGATTATAGATGAAATCAAGATTGTTAAATAAAGCAGTCATGAAAATAAACTTTTCAGATGACATGCAAAAGTTATTTGTTTTACCTCTGCAGTGCTAAACATCATGGACATAAATTAGATGATGTTAGTTTCCCTGTGGAACCATTTAAAACAACTATCTATTCTAAAAGTCAAATATGGTGATTTTGATCAGAGAATTAGGGTCAGCATTAACATTTTAAAGTTTTCTTTAAATGATAAAAGTTTGGTCATATCATTTTATCTTCATGGAATAATAAAGTACGATCATTACTTACAAGGAGGAACCACCTAACAAATACTTTTATTTTTCAGTAATTTATAGTGTGTTGTTCTTAAGTATAAATTACTTGTTTCTTCCCATAATTTTAATGATACAATGTTAATATATAGTTAAAATAATTTACTTCTTTGGAATTACACATGAAATTGAATTAGAGGAGTTTTTTTGTAGCATGAAAACATGCCGCCAATTGCCCACCTTGAATATTATTCTGAGAAAATTTATAACACTTCAAGTATGTCAGTTTTTTGTACTTGAAATGGATTACTTCCTACCTCACTAAAAGAATAAAAATATATTTTTAAAGGATATGAGATATTTTTTATATTTGAAAATATCATGCTTTTTCTTTCTTTTACTTCTCAGACTAATAGTTTCTTATTGGAGGTACAACTTAAGATCTCCCACAAATATACCAAAAACTAAATCTCGAATCCATAATGGAGAAAATCACATTTAGGAGAGTATGTATTTTATGATTAGAATTGCCAAGTTAAAATACATGATGCCTAGTTAAACTTGAGTTTTAGATAAACAACAAATAATGTTTGGGACATGCTTTTATTGTTAATCTGAAATTTGAATGTAACTGATCCTCCTGTATTTTATTTGCTAAATCTGGCAACCCTAATTATGATTCAGTATTTAAAAATATATAATTATAGATACATACGTTTCTATAATCCTTGAAACAAGTCTTCAAGAATATGCAGTAGAATATTAATGGTGGTTGTTTCTGGTGATTAGAGGAGAGGAAGGAAGATTTTAAATACTTTGTAGTCTCTACATTGTGTTCATTTATTTCAGTATGTACTTTTTTTTAATACTTAAGTCACTTGTTTTTGGTGGAGTGGCAAAGATACAGTGGATGGCAAAAATGCATAGAAATATCTGACACTTAACCATCATAGAGCATATGAGTGGGAAGGACAAGATATCACACATATAAAATTGCAATTACAGTAAACATCACAGAAGAGAGATACATCAGTGTTACGAGATTATACAGTCAGAGATTCTGTTGGTTTGGAAGATCACAGGAAACTTTCTTCAAAAGTGAAGTTTGAGATTAGATATGAAAGAATTTCTGTAGGAATTAACTCAGTCAAGATGATGACATTTCAAACAGAATGAAGGGGGAGAAATAATTTGGTGAGTAGGAGGAAGTAAAGGATGGGAGAGAGCTCCAGAGAAAGTAGTGCAAGATAATGTTGTAGAGAAACGTAGTGGCCACACCCTGTGGAGACTTGTGTTCCATGTAAGGTTTCAGGTTTTCATTTTTAAAGCAATGGTAAGCCATTGAAAGGGGCAATGCTGGTGTTAATAGGATCAGAATGCATTTTGGAAAGATCGTTTTGGTTGCCCTGTGGAGAACTGGTATGATAGGTAGGTGTATGCATGAGAGTGAGTGTTGCTTGACCAGTAAAGAGAATATTGTAGCAGTTCCTATGAGAGACAAATAGGAGTTTAATCTTAGTAGGGAGGTTTGATGATAATTTAGGAGGTAAAATTTTCAAGATTTAGTGATGCTGTTGATATGTGACAGTCACCAAGTGAGAAGTATTAAAGTTAACATGGGTTTCTGATTTGCACAAAGATGCAATGAAAAATGATACAGCCAATAAAAAATTAAAAATAATTACATAGATAAATAGGTTAACAACTAAAATGAAATCACTTGGATAGTATTCATAAAGTGAAACTATATGATGGCAGGAGGTGGATAAATCAAGAGATTGTAATATGAATATATATGTAATATATAATTGTAATATGTATAATATGCAGTATAAATTATATATGATATGAATTATATGTGTATGTAATATGTAAAATGAATTATAATATGAATCAGGAGATTGTAATATGTAATATTTTGAGTTACCTTGAAATTAATTTTAGTTATTTAGTACTGTTCATATTCAAATAGATATAATTTTAAATTAGTTTTTAAATTATAAAATTATTTCAGTATTTTTAGAATAAAAGAAACACAGAATGGTAAATAAAAAATAAAAAGTGGAGCTTTTCTTCTTAACTTTTCCTGGGGAGACTTCCCCTACCTTTTATAATTTATTTTATTGGAGAAATAGATTTTTGAATTGGAAATACTATTCTAAAATAAGGCAATTTTTCAACTAATCAGTACCTAAATGTATATTTTCTCTTAATTATGTTTATTTTACAGCGTTTGTAGCCTTATGTCAGGTTTCTCTGTCCCTAGTTAATCAATCCCTTTCACGTATCTATCTTTTCCTACACAGATTCTGATTAGATAATTCCCTTGCTTCAGAACCTTTTATGGTTCTGAAGAGGTAAGTTTAAACTTAAAGTTAACTCCAACTATCACTTTCTTGACCAGTGTATACTATGTTCATTTCTTTTCTCTTTCCTCAAGAGTGTGTGTGTGTGTGTGTGTGTGTGTGTGTAGTATTACACACACAAAGGGCAAATTGTAAAAATTGTATGTGATAATAGTATAATTTGATTAAATGCTTTTTTCCCCAGACTTTAAGTTCTAATGAATTTACTTAAAAACAAACAAAAAACATTATTATTATTATTATTTTTTGGAGACATAGTATTACTCCAGACCGAGTCTGGAGTGCAGTGTCACAATCTTGGCTCACTGCACCCTCCACCTCCTAAGTTCAAGCAATTCTTGTGCTTCATCTTCCCAGGTACCTGGGATTACAGGCATGTTCCCCCATCCCTGGCTAATATTTTTGTATTTTTAATAGAGACAAGCTTCCACCATGTTGGCCAGGCTGGTCTTGAACTCCTGATCTCAAGTGATCTGCCCACCTTGGCCTCCCAAAGTGCTGGGATTACCGGTGTGAGCCACCATGCCTGACCACACTTTTGTTCTTGATAGTCAACTATGTATCAGTCCTTGGAAAAAACTGATAAAAGAAAAGCAGATGTAGTGACTGTATTCTAAGGAAAATTGCATGACTGAAACTTATGTGGTGAAACATTTAACCATGTAGAGTTAGAAGAAACCTCAGTATTCTAATTCTTTGACGTTGTGGAGCAGTATGTTGTAAAGGATTAAAGGTTATTAATTTCAGGACAAATACAAATTGGTTCATCAATTTTGAAGGCACACGTTACATGTAAATTGAAGTGCTCATTTGAGGGGATATATTCTTCCTAGAGCAGACAGACTTCTTTCAAAAAAAACCCAGAATACCTAGCACTTGTTTGCTCATGTTATCACTTACTTTAAAAAAAAAAATAGCACTAGATGCATTCCTGGATCCGCTTATTGTCATTCCATTTATTTGACCTTAAGTTTTGCCAAAATTCTATTTTCCCCCCAAAGTGACTGAACATATTTCCAAAGAAGTCTTAGATTTCATATCCTTGATGAAGGCTCTTTACTGACTTGTAGCAGTAAAAACTATTATGAAAAATAAAAACGTTGAAGATTACACTATATTATTATATTGTCTATGATTTTATGTAATTGTGTTTTGCATTTTATGAAGCTTTGTGGTACATAAATGTGTCATTTATAATTAAATGTGGTTGAATTGATTTCTAAAATTATCAGATCCATGATTAACAAAATAACCTGTTGTATTACCCTTCTTTTTATAAGAAAAGGGGATTTAAGTCTTATTTCCTGGTTTTGTAACATGTTATAACTATAAATAATTCTTGTTTAGGGTAATAAAAATAGAAGCATAGTTTGCTTTCTGAGACTTGGATAGTATTTGGAAACATTTGGTTCAAGTTGGGAAGTTATTTTTCTCTCTTAATAGATGAAAATTTATAACTTTTAGAGAAAATCATTGTGAGCTTCCTACTCTAGCCCCCTCCCGCTGCCTTTTTTTTTTTTTTTTTTAATTGCAAAGTCAGTGCTTTCTAAACAATAAAGAACAAATATCCCCGGATACAAAGAAATGGGAAACTTAAACTAAA